CACATGCGGAATATCTCTCTCTCTCTCTCTCTCTCTGTCAAATAAATAAATAAAATCTTTTAAAAAAATACATATGCAGAAAAAATCACCTTTGATGATTTCAGTAGAATTCACATTTTAAATATATATATATTAAGTCAGGGGCACCTACAGGTGCCTGGATGACTCAGTCAGTTCAGCAGCTGACTCTTGGTTTTGGCTCAGGTCATTGAACTTAACGCCCTGGGATCAGTGGTGTTGGGTTACCTGTTACCTGTTCAAAGAGGAGTCTATTTGAAGATTCTCTCTCTCCCATTCCCTCTCCCTCTGCACCTCACCCAGCTCTCTCTCTCTCTCTCTCAAATAAATATATCTAAAAATAAAAATAAGTCAGGGGTGCCTGGGTGGCTCAGTCAGTTAAGTGTCGCATACTTGAGTTCTGCTCAGTCATGAGCTCAGTGAGGTTTAGCACCATGGCTAGCTCCATGCTGAACATGAAGCCTGCTTCAGATTCTTTCCCCCCTTCCCTCTGCCTCCCCCTCTGCTCCTTACCTCGCTCTCTCTCAAATAAATAAATAAAATCTTTAAATAAAGCTACCCCAAAAGGAAGACGCCTTCAGGCAGAATTAGTTAAATTATTTTATAAGCGTCTCCCTCTTTTCTCCTGTGTTCCCTTCATGATACTCTTAGCTTCCTCCCCTCCACCAGCAACACTGCTTCATAGTCAGGCTTTGACCATTGCTTTCTGTTACTGGTCCTCAACCCTCAGGGTCATCTCCACCTATCCTTCATTAACTGGATATGACAGATGACCTCATCACTAGACAGCAATGGATTCTATCCCCTTGGGTCTAGGTCTCATTTTGAAAGCTAAGTTAGAGACAGGAGACCTCCATGGTGCTGTTCACATGGGCAGCAGCTGTCAGACCTGTTTGTAGACTCTACAAGCTATGTGAAATTGAGGGATAATGGCTTATGGTGATAAATATGCAGAATGTTACATAATTGCTATTCCTGACTATGATACACAGTGTGACCATACAACTTATCATCCAACCTCAACACTGTAAAGAGTGAAAGTAAACCATGTTAATAATTACACTCAAAAAGACAGATTAGAAACTGGTAATATCCTCGAAAAAAAAAAAAAAAAAACCAGCACATATGGTTGGTTTTGTCAATCAGGAAAAATAATGACGCTCAAGCAAAAAATTACAGGAAGTACTGAACCTCCAATGGACACTGAAATTGAATCTCAAATAATGAAGTTGGAATAGGTCCTTTTGAGAATGCAGACAATTTCACAAAGATTCTAGGTCACTTTCGATAATAACCACTCAACATCAGTAAAGCACACAATTTATATTAGACCTATTATCCCAAATGTGGTATAAGGATATTCTAGTTGGCACACTGACACAGAATCAAATAACATGTTATCACAGCATGAAAAAGTCATTTCCTTGGCAATTCTCATTTAATTACTCTCATTGGATCAAACATAAAATCTCAGTTAATGCCACTGTGTTTCTAACACTTCCCTGTAGCACCATGAGCCTCCATTCCTAACAGACAGAGCTCAGTTTCTCCCAACCATTGGCTCCATAGTAGAATATAGTAACATTGCTATCTGATAGGAATGGATTTAATCACAAAGACAGACATGGAGAGAAATGGAGTAACATTCCCTTTGCATTCTACTGACATTGCCCAGGGAATCCTAGCTCTGGCCACACCTGTCTTATAAGAAGCTCTAAGGCTTAACACTACGACAGAACCAAGAGGGTCTGAGGGGAGAAACTTCCCTCTGCTGCCACAGCAGAGAATAATCAACACAAATAAACCTCTCAGATGTCCATTGAGAGTCTGGGTGCTTGGATGCCAGACAGTGAGGCACGGGAGAAAACAGGCAAATAAATTGAAAAATTTCCATCAAGGAATGCCTGGGTGGCTCAGTCAGTTGAGTATCTGACTATTGATTTTGGCCCAGTCAATGATCTGAGTCCTGAGATCAAGGTCCAAGTCAGGCTCTGTGCTCAGCATGGAACCTGCGTGAGATTCTCTTCCTCCCTCTCTCTCACTCTGCCCCTCCCCCATCTTCCCCACACCCCGTCTCTCAAAAAAAAAAAAAATAGTTCCCTCAATAGTTAGTCAAGGACTGTTGAAATATATGAGTTAAGAAATGTATGGCCTGTGTGGTTTCTGTTCTGGAAGTTATTTGCTAAGTGAGACAATTGTATCATAACCAGTCTTGCAACAACCACGGCTGTGGCAATTTATAAGGAAAAGTGTGTTTAAAGAGCAGGCACATGAAGGGGTTGTGGCTTATCTCAGGATGGGCACAATCAGGCACTGAAACCCAAAGTCAGTGCCATGCTGGGATCCTAATCCTGTGTTAGATTCTTACCGCTGCTGCAACAAATTACCACTAATTACTGGCTTAAGGCAAACACATCATCATACAGTTGTGGAGGTCAGAAGTCAGAAAGGGGTTTCACTGAGATAAAATCAAGGTGTTGAAAGGGCTGAGTTCCTTCTAGAGGTTCTAGGGGAGAAACCCATTTCCTCACCTACTCCAGCTTCTGGAGGAAGCTAGCATTCCTCCACCTTCAAAGCAGCACTCAGATCACTCCCACCTCTGTTCCCATCACCATATCCCCTTCTCTGACTCACTCTGCTGCTTCTCTCTTCCACTAATAAGGACCTCTGATTACAGTGGATCCTCTGATATAAACCAAAATAATCTTCTTATGTTAAAATCAGCTCATTTTAGCAACCTTAGTTCCCCCTTGCCATGTGACCTAACATATTCATAGATTTCAGAGATTAGGATGTAGATACCTGTATGGTGTTGGGGGTGGGCATAATTGTGCCTACCACTCCTTCACATGACATGCAAACCCCTCAAACTGTCTTTCTGGTCTCACCCCACTGTACACTACATAGTAGATAATAATACAAAACTTGATGGCTTAGAACAACAAGATATATTATCTCAAGTTTCTGTGGGTCAGAGTCTCTCAATGAGGCCACAATCAAGATGTCAAATGAAGCTTCATCTGCAATCTCAACTGGGGAAGAATCAGCTTTCAAGATCATTCACATGGTTGTTGGCAGGATTTCTGCTTCCCTGGCTGTTGACTGGAAGCTACCCCCAGTTCCTTCCATAGAGGCTTCTCTACCAGGCAGCTCAGAACATGGCAGCTGGCTTTCTCAGAGCAAGAAGCAAGAAGAGCCAGAGAGAGACTGCAAGCAAGAGGGAAGTTGGACCTTTGTCTCCTCATCATATAACTTTTCCTGCATTATATTCACGAGAAGTGAGGCCAGCCCACACTCTGGGGAAGGGGATTTCACAAGGGCATGGATATCAGGATGTGGGAACACGGGGCCATGTCAAAAGCTGTCTAATGCACTCCAATATATATCCTGTGCTTTCATCTCACAAAACCACCAACACTCCCCCGAGAAAGAAAAAAAAATGTCCTATATTTGTTCATTAATTTGCTCATCCAAAAATTATTGTTCCTACTGTGAAATAAGCAGTACAGTAGCTCAAAAGCTGGAGATAGAACAGTGAACAAGAAACAAAGACCCTTCCCCCTTGGAGTGGACATTCCAATGGAGAGGGTGACAGACAGTAAACAAATCACACAGTGTGACAGAGGGTGAGGAACCCTAACAGGGAAGGAGCACAGTGGGTGTCCAGGGGGGTGACACTGTCTTCTACATAAGAGAGATGGTCTGGGAAGACCTCTTTGAGAACTGGCCCTTGAGCAAAGACATGAAGGAAGTGTGGGAGCCACAATGAGAATATTTGAGGAGGAGTGTCCCGGGCAGTGTGGACAGCAAATCCAAAGGCTGGTGATGGGTTCAGGGAACAAGAAGCTCAGTGCCGCTGGAGCAGAGGGAGCAAGGGAGAAGGCAGTTGGAGGGGAGGTCCAAAAGGCAACCAGGAGCCAGAACTGACAGGGTCTTGTCATTAAAAATGACTTGGAATTTTATTCTAAGATCGGAGTCACTAAAGAACGGCCCCACCAAATGAAGCTGCTTAAATTCCAGTAGTTACCAAAAAAAATTAGCCCCTCCCTTCATAATTTCAAATACTATTTCTAGTTATATGTTATAGGAAGGTATACTTTGCTTTAATATAGCTGCATTTAACATTTAATATATTGATCCACATTTTCTAATTACTTACTTTAAAAGATAGTATCTGAAAGCCCTAGGTGTTTGAAATTGCTTTGTTCCCAGATAAAGAAAGAAAAATCAAATGAAACAATCTCTGGGCGGGGCCCCTGGGTGGTTCAGGTCCACTAAGCATCCGCTCTTGATGTCAGCTCAGGTCTTGATCTCAGGGTCATGAGCTGGAGCCCTGCCTTGGGTTCCACACTGGGCATGGAGCCTACTTAAAAAACAAACATACAGTTTCTGGGAAGCTTGGGTCCATTGCTCACCTGAAGTCAATCAACCTTAAAGGGCCTAGGCTGGGACTCAGGTCACAGCAACTTATTAACTGCAAAAAGGCCAACTTCACAAAGCAAGTGTCTCGAACCAAAAGCAAGGTGGTGCCTTAAGAACTGCCTAACCTTCGGTGAAGCGGCTACTGACCAACAGCCAGGAGGTTGTCTGGGCAGGTGTGTAAAGGCCCAGGAGGAAGGCCGGTTTATGCTTACTCGCACACCAGCCACACTCCTGATGTGATGACCCAGAATTGTGGGGAAGGACACTCTGTCATGGCCATCACTGCACACTCAGCCCCAAGTGTCTCCTACGACTGTGCCACCTAGAAGTCACCTCCACACACCTGGGAGGATGGATAGGCCGGAACTTAGATAAGCATGTGGAAATTAGTTCTATCAGAGAAGGAGGGGTCAGCTTAAGTAGTTAGGAGTGGCCAGAAGGGGGAGGACGCCAGACTGTTTGACAAAAAGAAGCACATATAAGAGAAAGTAGAGAAACACCCTGCTTTCAAACACGGGGATCTGTACACAGGAGCTGTAGACTAAACAAGAGAGAGTGGGATGACCCGGTTCACCCTCCCCCTCCTGAACCTTCTCTGGGCTGCAGCTGGGACCAGCACCTGGACCCGAAGTTCATGCTGTGAGTATGGTGGTTTTTCCAGAGAGATCAGGGGAGCAGTTCCCCCGGGCACAGGGGGAAACCTCACACATAGAGGTCTGCTGAGGAGAAAGTGATTGAAAACAGCAATCACTCTAGGAGTTCCAAGTGGGCGAGTCAGGGTGAGTGTGTGCTGCATCTTTCCTGACTGAACCCTGTAAGTGCTTGGAGAGGCAAGTCTATGCATTTTACCTTAGAAGAGGTTGAAATAGTGGTGCAGGAACAATGGCTGGTGGCACAAAGAGAGATGCTCAGAGCTGTTCTGACCAAGTGCCACTGCTGGGGGATGTTGGAACTCACTGAGGACAGCTCGTATCCCATGTCTTCCATATTTTCCATATAAGACTGAGAAAAAAAGGAGGTGCCGGGCTGGCTTAGTTGAGGAGCATGCAACTCTTGATCTCAGGATTGAGTTTGAGCCCCATGCAGAGTGTAGAGATTTAAAAAAAAATCTTTTAAAAAGGAAGTTCACCTGGGTGGCTCAGTCAGTTGAGCGTCTAACTCCTGCTTTCAGCTCAGGTCACAATCTCAGGGTGGTGGGATCGAGCCCAGCCTTGAGTGCTACTCTCAGGAAGGAGTCGGCTTGTCCCTTTCCCTCTGCTCCTCTCCCTGCTGGCCCACAGGTCACTCTCACTCTCTTTCTCAGTCTCTCTCTCTCTCTCTCTCTCTCTCTCAAATAAATAAATAAATAATAAAATCCTTTTTTTTTAAAAAAAGGACTTTTTTTTTAATTTATTTTCAGTGTAACAGTATTCATTATTTTTGCACCACACCCAGTGCTCCATGCAATCCGTGCCCTCTCTAATACCCACCACCTGGTTCCCCCAACCTCCCACCCCCCCGCCACTTCAAACCCCTCAGATTGTTTTTCAGAGTCCATAGTCTCTCATGGTTCACCTCCCCTTTCAATTTCCCCCAACTTTTTTTTTAAGGATTTATTTGAGAGAAAGAGAGAGTGAGGTGGGGTGGGGCAGATGGAGAGGGAGAGAGAGACTCCCAAGCAGACTCCATGCTGAGCACAGAGCTGGACATAGGGCTCCATCCCAGGACCCTACGGTCAGGACCTGAGCCAAAAACCAAAAGTTAGACACTTAATCAACTATACCACCCAGGCACCCCCCCTGAAAAAAGTTAACTTTAAAATAAAAGAGTGAGAAAAAAATACAAGGAAATCAGTGATTTCTAGGAATCTGCTGAAAATAATATGAAATGGCCATGAGCCATATTGCTTGAACTTCCTAAGTGAGAAGTCACTTTGTTAAACATGAGGGTTGTTTGAGGAGATCCAACATCTAACTGGTCTAACTGGCCTCAAAAGAAAATGTCAATGTTTTCTCCATCTCTATTTTTTTAGAGAATTTATTTATTTGACACAGAGAGAGAGACATCGAGAGAGGGAATACAAGTAAGGGGAGTGGGAGAGGGAGAAAGAAGCAGGCTTCCCACTAAGCAGGGAGCCAGATGTGGGGCTTGATCCCAGGATCCCAGGACCATGACCTGAGCCAAAGGCAGACGCTTAATGACTCAATCACCCAGGTGCCCCTCCATCTCTGTTAGGGACGCTAATGGGTGTCCCTGAAAATGTTAATGCTAACTAATCCTGTCTTCTAACAGAGTGACACATGGGAAGCATGTTTCTGAGATGAGAGAGAGTAGATTAGGGGTTTAGTAAATGGCTTTTCTCTTCTCAGCTGTTCCCCCAGCACAGCAGCCCTTGGTTCATGGCATACAAGTGCTCATGGAGAACTCTGTGACCAGCTCAGCCCACCCCAATCCCAGCATCCTGATTGCCATGAACCTGGCTGGAGCCTACGACATGGAGGCCCAGAAGCTCCTAACTGACAAGCTCATGGCCAGTGACAGTGCAGGTGAGAAATCAGAGCCTCTCCACACGCTCCCTGATTCTCCAGCCCCAGATCCCAACTTCACATCCCCACACACACCAGTGCCACCTGTGATTGTCCCTGAATCACCCAAACACCTTTCCCTATGTACCTGGAAAGAAAGGTTCGTGAAGTCAGAGCATCAGCAGAGTTACACAGGAAAGCAGGATAAGCTCTAGACCAGTTGTAAAAAGAGGGGGCTTGCAGCTCTGGCTCCACCATTTATTAACTCTGAAACCTTGAACAGGTCACAGACCAACCTCACGCCTTCATTTGCAAAATGCAGATGATTCTAATAACAAGGACTCTAACAGTAATAATAACAATGATAATAATAATCAAATCTCTGTTCTGCCTACTTCACAGGAGTTGCCCTGAGGATCAAGTTAGATAGTAAAGTTAAAATTATTTTCAGGTATGAATTTGTATGGGTGCTCATGCTGCTTTTCTAAATAGATACCAGGGATTCCTTACCCATTCGTCCGTTGAAGGGCATCTTGGTTCTTTCCACAGTTTGGCGACCGTGGCCATTGCTGCTATAAACATTGGGGTACAGATGCCCCTTCTTTTCACTACATCTGTATCTTTGGGGTAAATACCCAGTAGTGCAATGCAGGGTCATAGGGATAAGGAAGATGTGGTCCATATACACTATGGAGTATTATGCCTCCATCAGAAAGGATGAATACCCAACTTTTGTAGCAACATGGACGGGACTGGAAGACATTATGCTGAATGAAATAAGTCAAGCAGAGAGAGTCAATTATCATATGGTTTCACTTATTTGTGAAACATAACAAATAGCATGGAGGACAAGGGGAGATGGAGAGGAGAAGGGAGTTGAAGGAAATTGGAAGGGGAGGTGAACCATGAGAGACTATGGACTCTGAAAAACAATCTGAGGGTTTTGAAGGGGCGGTGGGTGGGAGGTTGGGGGAACCAGGTGGTGGGTATTAGAGAGGGCACAGACTGCATGGAGCACTGGGTGTGGTGCAAAAACAATGAATACTGTTACACTGAAAAGAAATTAAAAAAAAAAAAAAGAAAAACATACCAGGGATTCCTGATGAAGTTGTCAAGTCACACAGTGGTCACTCGATTAAACCCTCCTTCAACATTTTTCCATACTTCTTTCCTTAAGAAAAACAAGATCAAAAAACTATCTAGAGGGACCTGGCTGGCTCCATGGTGGGAACATGTGGCTCTTGATCTCCAGATTGTGAGTTTGAGTCCCAGGCTGGGTATAACGATGACTTTAAAAAAAAAAAAAAAAAAAAAAAACTTTTTAAAAAATTATCTAATCGTATTGTTTTTTTTTCCCCTTTGACAAGATTTGATATTTTTTTAAGAAGATTTTTTTTATTTCTTTTCAGCGTAACAGAATTCATTGTTTTTGCACCACACCCAGTGCTCCATGCAATACGTGCCCTCTCCAATAACCACCACCTGGCTCCCCCAACCTCCCACCTCCCACCGCTTCAAAACCCTCAGATTGTTTTTCAGAGTCCATAGTCTCTCATGGTTCATCTCCCCCTCCAATTTCCCTCAACTCCCTTCCCCTCTCCATCTCCCCATGTCCTCCATGTTATTTGTTATGCTCCACAAATAAGTGAAACCATATGATAATTGACTCTAATCGTATTATTAAAAAATCAAAATGATCTGGAGATCAGATCAGAGAGCTCAGCCCTGATCCCTGGCACACTCTGTCCTGAGAATACCTTTGTGACTGTTTTATTCTCTCCTCTACAGACCTGACCATTGGTCAACTTGCCCTTACCATCATGGCCCTCAACTCCTCCTGCCAAGATCCTGGGAATAAAGTGTCAGTTCTGCAGAGACAAATGGAAAGCTGGCCACCCTCAAGTAAGACCTCAGCAGAAGGGAGGGGAGGGTGAGGCAAATGGGCCTTCCTGAGAGTATTAAACCTAGAACAAAAAAGATGGGTGAGGGGCACCCAGGTGGCTCAGTGGGTTAAAGCCTCTGCCTTCAGCTCAGGTCATGATCCCAGGGTCCTGGGATCGAGCCCCACATGGGGCTCCCTGCTCAGGAGGAGCCTGCTTCCCTCTCTCTCTCTCTCTCTCTCTCTGCCTGCCTCTCTGCCTACTTGTGATCTCTGTCAAATAAATAAATAAAATCTTAAAAAAAAAAAAAAAAGATGGGTGAGTGGAAAATGAGGGAGGGGATACAAGTTATCTCCACTCAGGAGTCTTCGGATAACCACACAGTGAGATATTCACTTCGATTCCAAATGTACTAGAGAAGATCACCATCCTGGGAAACAGACTTATGCCATCACCTGAAGACAGTCATCCTTTTTATTCTCTTGTCCTGCTGGGTGACGTTCTTATTCTGAGAAATGTTAAAGTTAGCTTTTGCCAATATGGAGTCTTTCTTTTTTGGACAGGTTTTCTAGAAATTTCTACTTTAAAGGTTTGACTTTTACCTTTTTTACAGAAGTCCTCATTATGGTGAATGTTAATCTTACAGAGACCCTCTGTCCCCTTCCCAGGTCCCAGTGTTCCAGCTTCAACCTTCTATGGGCCCAGTCTGGCGGTCCTGGCATTGTGCCAGGAGAACCCAACAAGAACCTTACCCATAGCAGCCCGCTTTGCCAAGATCCTGAAGTTTGGTTCCTCCCCCTTCTATATGGGTGAGTTGGTTGTCACTTCCAAACACTGCCCTGAGCTGGGAATATCAAGGACATGGGGGGGGGGGGCGGCAGGAGGGGAAAGGGGGGGGGGGAGCTTTCCATGGCGGAGGAGCCAAGGGTCATGAAAATGTCTGCAGATGGAAGGCACTTAACAAACATTTGCTGGACATGTGAATTAAGGAATAAGTGAAAGGGCGACAGTAAAACAAAGAAACCAGGGCGATACTTGAAATGTCTGACAATGACAGAATCTCTACCGGGAACAATAAATAAGTCACACAAGTCAGCAGTTATTCCCAGACAAATTCTTAAATTATTAAATCAATGTCTAGACTCAAGTCTTACCCTGAAATCTTTTTTTTTAAAGATTCATTTATTTCTTTCAAATAAGTAAAATCTTAAAATATATATATATATATGATATACATAAATATATATATATATAAAAGATTCATTTATTTATTTTATAGAGAGGGAGAGCAGGGAGAGGGGCAGAAGGCAAGGGAGAGAGAGAACCTCAAGCTGACTCCACCCTGACCGCAGAGACAGACACAGGGCTCCATCTCACGACCCTGAGATCATGACCTGAGCTGAAACCAAGTCAGACACTTAAATGACTGAGCCACCCAGGCCGCCTGAACTCTCTCTTTTATCACTACTGATGATTCTACTCTCTGTTCCTCTCGATGTTTCTCCTTATAACACCCTGATATTCTCTTTCTAGTAAACAGATAATCTCTGAACCCTAAACCCATGATGCTCCTCCCCTTCAAGGATACACTGGAACCATGTTACTTCTTCATTCTGTAACCTTACCGTTGCTTGTCAAGAGAAGCTTTTTCCCCTACAGCACCATGTCCTTTTCCGTCCACCCTTCTGCAGGTCATGATACCTGCCCTGAATAATACCCTCTCTGTGGACATTATCCCGTGCCCTTCATTCATGGTCACCTTTCCTCCTTTGGACTCTCAAGCAATAGCGTATCTCGGGTTTTCACCCCGTTAGCCACCCTGCCCCTGCAACCTCTCTTGTTTCAGGCAAACTCTCCCATTTCAGTCTCTTTCAGATCATAAGCAAGTACTCTAGTGCCCTCCCTGTGGCTCAAGAGCAGACAGGTCTCCGTTTTCCATCTGGGACCTCATGCATTGCTAGTGAGTCTGTCAGTTCAGGAGATTTGACTTCTTGGCCACCAATGGTTTCAACAACACTGTCATCCTTAATGAGGTCATACTATTCAGGTGGTGATTATAGGAGGGAGAAGATCAGAGAAAGAAGTCATCTGGCAAGTCTTTCACTTGTTCTCTCTTGTCCTGCGATAGCTTGCTCATTCAATCCACATACACTTTCCCATGCAAATAATGAAAATGCCCCTGTGCCAGGTGCCCTGGGGGGGGTGCAAAGTTCCCACCATCCAGTTGCTCACAGAGCACAGTAACGATAAAACAGAGCAGAGAGTGCTGAGATTGCAAAACAGGTCCAAACAACACATGATAAAAAAGCTCAGAAAAGAGGGGCACCAGCGTGGCTCAGTTAAGTGTCCAACTCTTGATCTCAGCTTGCATCTTGATCTCAGGGTCAGGAGTTTAAGCCCCACATTGGGCTCCATGTTGGGTGTGGAGCCTACTTTTTGAAAAGTTCAGAAAAGAGACTGTACCTGTGGCACTGGGCAGACCAAAGAAGGTTTCACTGAGAGGTGGTGATGGCCAGGCCTTCCAGAACCGGTGAAATTTTTAAAAGATAAACACTGGGACAAGAAAAATGAGACTGAATGAAGCACCAGTCTACATGAATTAAAAACATGAGCCTTAGATCTGGGTTCAGGTCCTGGCACTGCTACTTACCAGCTGTGTGGCCTTGGGCCATTACTTGGCCTCTATGAGCCTCCATTTCCTTATCCCTTCAGTGGAGTTCATTATAGGTCCTATCTCACAGGTTGTCCTGAAGAATAAAGAAGATAATGTAGTTGGAATGCAATAAGCACACAGTAAATGTTAGCTCTTCCTATTGTTGGGTGATGGTTGTCTCACCCACCTCCCTCCAACCATGATTCACAGACACAGGAGCTATGGCGACCTTGGCCCTGACTTGTATGTACAACAAGATCCCAGGAGGTTCAGATGAAGGTTACAAAATTCTGTTCGGTGAGGTACTACAGGAAGTCGTGAAGAATGTCAGCATGAGGATCAAAGAGAATGGAATCATTGGAGACATCTACAGTACTGGCCTTGCCATGCAGGTAAACACATCACCTATGCTTCTTTGTTGAGCCCATGCCAGTATGATAAGACTGGATTGTGGGATCAAGACACCAGGCTTCTTATAATTATATCTCTGGGGAAGACAAGCTAGTATGACTTGAGGTAGATTCCTTGTGGTGTTTGTCTCAGTTTCTCTACTGGTAAAACGCAGGTGTTAATTCCTCCCTACCTCATAGGTAAAGGGTGAAAATAAAATTATAAGAATTCCTTTCTCTTTCTTGGAAAAATAAATAAATAAATCCCAGGAACATATCAAGTTATTAGTGATAATGTTCAGTGTGCTCATAATAATCATAGATTGATGAAAATTTGATGTATAAAAAATAAGATATTAAAATAGGCCCTCAAAAAAATGAAATTTTCTAATTCCATCTTGCCAGTCAAGTGTTCTTTTTTTCAGCCCTTTATCTTTTTTTTTAATTTTTTTAATTTATTTTCAGCGTAACAGTATTCATTGTTTTTGTACCATACCCAGTGCTCCATGCAATCCATGCCCTCTCTAATACCCACCACCTGGTTCCCCCAACCTCCCACCCCCCGCCCCTTCAAACCCCTCAGATTGTTTTTCAGAGTCCATAGTCTCTCATGGTTCACCTCCCCTTCCAATTTCCCCCAACTCCCTTCTCCTCTCTAACTCCCCTTGTCCTCCATGTTATTTGTTATGCTCCATAAATAAGTGAAACCATATAATAATTGACTCTCTCTGCTTGACTTATTTCACTCAGCATAATCTCTTCCAGTCCCGTCCATGTTGCTACAAAAGTTGGGTATTCATCCTTTCTGATGGAGGCATAATACTCCATAGTGTATATGGACCACATCTTCCTTATCCATTTCTGATCTGACTCTCTTCTCTCACTTCCTATTCCAAACTTCAGGTGAATCAGTCACCAGCAATCTCAAACCACTGACTTACTCTGAGGGTCATGGTCAGCACAACCCTAAAGGGAAGGAGGTGGTGATAATAGCTTACACATTACACATAACAAAATGCTTTTGCTTATTGTCCCACATCTGAACCTCAAATGAACCCACAAAGGTAGGAAGAAATTGTGACTTCTATTTTACTCATGTGATACAAATCTCAGCAAAGTAGAATGAATTGCTTGGAGCATTAATCAAGAACCACTTTTCAGATAACAGAAACCCAAATAATTTTTGCTTAAGAAAAAAATGGGGATTTACTATTTCATGTTATAAACTAGAAGGTTCAGGGCTAGATTAAATGGTTTCAGGATTAAGCAGAATAAAGGGCTCAGATTTTGCTTTTAGGCACTATTCTTTTTTCGTCACTCAGCCCTGGTTTTCCTCAGTGTCTCCTATGGCATGGTTTCTTCAAAGTGGCTGAGGAGGATGGTCACAGCCCAGTGACTACTTACATGGTCCCAGCTGAATACCCCAGCAGGAGGAAAAGACATGCTTCTCTCTCTGAATGTCTGTATGTCAGGGAAGGATGCTGGCTAGTGGGGTGCCCACTAATCACTGTTAGCAAAAGGATGGCACTCTAGGATTACCCCAGCCCAGGCCATGGGTCCACCCCTGTGGCCAGGCTTGTGGAACCTCTGACTAACTGTCCTGACATGATCACAAAGTATAGGAGGAGTCCACCAAAGGTTGTGCAGGACAACACAAAACAAAGAGCACTGCTATGTTTGGATGACCAGATGTCCCAGACTAACACTGCTCCTGAAGCTTGCTTTCCCTGGGACTCGCCTTCATTCTACATTCAAGAACTGTTTTATACAAACATGCTATAAATACAGCAGCCCCAGTAGTGTTCCCCAAATCTAACTGGCACACTGATATTTGTTGTGTGACTGCTATGTGACAGACCCTGATCTAAGAGGTGGGGACGCAGCAGGGAACAAGACAGACAATGTCCCAAACCTTGGGCAGCTCAGTTTTGGACTCTGAGTGATCCCCCCAAGATTAGTGATCAAGTATATCTCTTGTAAAGCTTATAGAGGCCAACTCTCAGCTATGCTTAATCAATCTCTCATTCCCTCTCTCTCCTGCCCCCAGGCTCTCTCTGTGACACCTAAGCAACCTAACAAGGAGTGGAACTGCCAGAAGACCATGGACACAATACTTCAGGAGATTGAGCAGGGGAAATTCCACAATCCCATGTCCATTGCCCAAATCCTCCCTTCCCTGAAAGGCAAGACATACCTGGATGTGCCTCATGTGTCCTGCAGCCCTGGTAAGAACTCTTAACATCTGCCTTTCCTTATGTCGTAAAGTAGTGGCTCCTTATGTGGATCAATTTTAAGTGGCACACAGGCTCATTATGTAGGCAGAGCCACATCTGATATCCAATACCCAAGTGTTGTGTGCTAACACACAGCCATGGCAGCCTGTCCTCAGAATTCAGCCCCCATGTCTACTTCACTCAGTACACATTAAGTGAGCACCTACTACTTACATAGCATTTTGTGAGACGCTGGTGAAGAGGGGAGGTCCATGGTCCTAACAATCAGATGATACATAACTTCCTTCATTCATTTGACAAATGCACCAAACCTTATGCACTATCTTATGATACCCGCTCTTTACAAGGTCAGGATACAGATATGTAGACAAAAACTACAACATTTGGAAGAATGAAATAAGTATTAAGTAGAAATAGAAGCCACATGTAGTGCATAGGAAAGAAAGTGTGAGCAATCATTGAGCTGGTCTGAGACACATATGAGAAAAAGAGTTGGCTTTTAAGCCCAGACTTGGGGATCTCAATACAAGGCCTTGGTGCTCCTGGCACACCAAAGGAATGGGATGGAAACCTGGCATATTACCTTTTTATTTTAAATATCTCTATTTTAGCCAATTAAAAATATCATACAGGGCTACTTAAAAATTCAAACTTTGTAGAAATATGCACAAAGAAAGTGGAAGTCCTGCATAAAATTTTATCCCCCCAGCAATAATGAGTCTTAGCAAAGATACCTCCAACTCCTCCTTCTAGACAAATACTAGTATAAAGTGCTCATGTCTTATGTTGCACGGATTTGCTGAGATAAGCAGAGATTACTAAATTCCCTGCGTATCTCAGTACAGAGTCTATAGAGACTGTAATCAAGGAACCCAATCCTAATCACACCAAACACAGCTACATTCACCGAACTCCTCAGGCTGCTTCCCAGTGATTTCCCAACCTGGACAAGGTGGCCATGGAGTCTTTCCAAGGACTCTACACTATAGTTGCCCAGGTGTTTTGTTAAATGGTCTGAAACTTACTACCTTTGCTTCCAGATTCACAGTGTTACCAAAAATCCCACAAATCCACAGAACTCAACCATGTAAAACACATGACTTGGGGCTAACCATACTCCCTTCTGGTTATAAATTCTTTTTTTAAAAATATTTTAATTATTTATTTGACAGAGAGAGAGAGATCACAAGGAGGCAGAGAGGTGGAAGGAAGCAGGTTCCCCACTGAGCAGAGAGCCCAATGCGTGGCTCCATCCCAGGACCCTGGGATCATGACCTGAGCCGAAGGCAGAGGCTTTAACCCACTGAGCCACCCAGGCGCCCCTGGTTATAAATTCTTTAAACAAAACTAATGTTCACTATAAAATGAGCCATCTCCACATCACTCGGCATCAGGGAAATACAAATCAAAACCACAGTGAGATACCACTTCACACCAGTCAGAATGGCTAAAATTAACAAGTCAGGAAATGACAGATGCTGGTGAGGATGCGGAGAAAGGGGAATCCTCCTACACTGTTGGTGGGAATGCAACCTGGTGCAACCAGTCTGGAAAACAGCACGGAGGTTCCTCAAAAACTTGAAAATAGAGCTACCCTACAACCCAGCAATTGCACTACTGGGTATTTAACCCAAAGATACAAATGCAGTAATCCGAAGGGACACGTGCACCCGAATGTTTATAGCAGCGATGTCCACAATAGCCAAACTATGGAAAGAACCTAGATGTCCATCAACAGATGAATGGATAAAGAAGAGGTGGTATATATATATATTTATATATATATATATATATATATATATATATATTTATATATATATAAATATATATATATATATATATATTTGTTTTGATGGCTGCATAGTATTCCACTGTGTGTGTGTGTATATATATGTATACACACACAGTGGAATACTATGCAGCCATCAAAAGAAATGAAATCTTGCCATTTACAATGACGTGGGTGGAACTGGAGGGTATTATGCTTAGCGAAATAAGTCAATGGGAGAAAGACAACTACCATACGATCTCCCTGATATGAGGAAGTGGAGATGCAATGTGGTGGGTTTGGGGGGTAGGAAAAGAATAAAATAACAAGATGGGATCAGGAGGGAGACAAACCATAAGAGGCTCTTAATGTCACAAAACAAACTGAGGGGGGCTGGGGGAGAAGGGTGGGAGAGGGTGGTGGGGTTATGAACATTGAGGAGGGTATGTGCTATGGTGAGTGCTGTGAATGAAGTGGGTAAACCAGGCAATTCACAGACCTGTACCCCTGGGGCTAATAATACATTATATGTTTATAAAAAAATAAAAAAGATACTAAAAAAAAAGAAAAGAAACAGTTAAAATGAGCCATCAGCTCTTCAGCTATGAGCAATTCTCTAGATTGGAAATGAGAGCTTCATAGATCACACAAGTTCCTCAGAACCACCCAAAAAAGACACAAAATCTTTGCCATTTCTTGAAATGTTTCTTTAGGATAAGTTGCCAATAACAGAGATTTTTTTCACCTATAATACAAACCCTATAATCATTAACAAATGTGACCTCTTTGCTCTTCACAGGTGTTGAAGTGCAACCAACTCTCCCCACTCAACCCAGCCCTGTTCCCACCACAGCATCCAACATCACCATCATATATACCATAAATAACCAGCTGAGGGGAGTGGGTCTGCTCTTCAATGAGACCATGGACGTTAGTGTGAAAGGTGGATCGGTACTACTTGTTGTCCTAGAGGAAGCACAAAGCAGAAATCCCATGTTCAAGTGAGTGCTGTAAGCAATGTTCACCATTCTCCCCAGACCCCACCTGAATTCCCATTCTCTCTTCCTTCCTTCATTTTCTTACATTTTTTCCCTTCTTATAATTTAACATCATTTCATCACCCCTTGAGAAGCGTGCAATCTAGTAACTATCAAAGCTGGCTCAGGAAAATTCAATCGCCCAAGTCAACATATGATGGAGTTTTACAAACAGGAATTCAAAGGGGGGAAAGTCTATTGTGGGTTAGAACAGTCCAGGAAGGCTTGTGGCTTTGGAGCCCATTTGAAAAATAAGTACTGTTAGGAAGATGGGGAAAGATGGTATTCTAGAAAGAGGGAATGGCTAGGACAAAGCATTTGAGACAAGAATAAGCAAGGACTTCAGGGTCAGTGAGTAGGCCAGCTTGACTAGAGAAGAGAATAGTGAATCAAGTGAGTAACCTGTAAGGATAGGCTGGGTGATACAAAGTCTGAAAAACCAGGTTAAGGAGATCAGACTTCCTATTAGAGAAAGCACTGCAAGTTTTTAAGTAAGAAAAGTCACGTTGTAAAACGTTAATTGGTTCGAGAATGGGAGACAAGGAGGAGATCTGGGGCTAGCCTGAGGTAACGAATCTGTGAGGTGATGAAGACCTCTTCTAGGATAAAGAGACTCACACCAAGGAAGACGCCACTTGGCTCTGTGAGTACTGGGGGAAAGGAGGTGGCAATAGAGAGAAGCTTCCAAACTTTTGATAGGAGTGTCAGGAGGAAAGAATGTCTTTCAGAGAAAAAGACTTAGTTCCTTTAGACATGTCTAATTGTGGGTGTTCAAAACAGCAACATTAGGGAGCTTTTGGAGGTTTAGATGAAGGCCTAGAAAAAGAGGTCAGGACAGGCGAAAGAGGTCAGACGGTCATCTGATAGAGGGGATGACTGAAGTTGAGGAACTGTGCAGAGGTAGCAGAGACAAGTTCCCAACAAGCCACGAGTCCAGAGTGCCAGCTGGCTCAGTCAGCAGAGCAGACGACTCTTGATCTCAGGATCGTGACTTCAAGCCCCATGTTGGGCGTAAGTCCACATGAAAAACAACAAACAAACCAACCATGATCTATATGCCCATTTTACAGATAGCACCACATAGTCCCAAAGAGGCTAAGTAACATTCCTAAGATCCCATGACATATAACTAGTTAAGTTGACTGTGAAGCTCATGTTCCTTCCACTGTCAGGAGAGGACAAAATACAGAAATAAATCCTGAGAAATAAAATTAAACTTGAGATGTCTTCATAGTTTGCAAGAAGAGGAAGCAGTAGAGAAATATGGAGAAAACTAAGCTCACAGAAAGAGCAGAGGGGAAATGCCAGGAAAGGAAAAGAGGAGAGACCTTCAAAGGACAATGATGTGATCCAAATTCTGCAGAGAGATGCCAGAGAGAAAAACTGACCAAGCCCAAGGAAGTGACACCTGAGTGGGATGTGGAACCTGTTCCACAGGATTAGGTGCTATACATTGTGCCTGCTGTCCACAGCCAAGTTCCATACTCTCCTGACTCCCACAGACAGGTCAGGACAAAAGTTGCGTTTCAAGAATACTTAGTTTTTAAATACCCTCGGAATATACCTTACTACTTCTCTGAGCTTAACTATAATTTTGCCCGATTTTTCTTTTTCTGACCGCGCATGTCATGAATACATACAGTAGACCATTGGGGGGTGATGCATAACGAGCAAAACCTCTAAAACTAGTAATACACTATCTGTTAATTAATTGAATTCAAATAAATTTTTTAAAAATGGAACAAGACAAAGCATGTACAAGTGTGTCCATAATGTAATCAGTTGACATTTCTTTATGATTTGGTAGGTGTTTTCTTCTGTGCATGTTATAGATAGCTGTGACCCCTCACATGGGTGGGATAGTTATTTCATGTAAAATTTGTGTCCCACATTTTCACCTAACAATTACTGCGTGAGCATTTTTAATGTCACTTAAAAGTGTGGAAAAATACAATTTTGTCAATGCCAAAAAAAAAAAAATTCAGTTTTGAATATTCATCTCATCACTCGTGTAAGTATTCACCCATTGTTGGGCATTTACATTTTTTAAAATTTGCTTATTGATAGGTTTTTTAAAAAACCCCATTCATTTAAATATCATTTAATACTAAGTGAAGTAATTTCATATTCATTAGTCATTAGCAATTTCTCTTTTAAGCATTTTTAAAAATAAACATATTTTTAATTTGCATTAATTTTATTTCTACCTAAAGGGAGACATTTTTTTAACTATGTTCCATTAGCCACTGTATAGTACATCATTAGCTTTTGATTATTTTTCAGTGATTCATTAGTTATGTATAACAGTGCTCATCACAACACGTGCCCTCCTTAACACCCATCACCTGGTTACCCCATCCCCCACCTCCCCTCCCCTCTGTAACTCTGTTTGTTTCCCAGAAAAGCAACGATTCCTGTGCATTAATTTTGTATCCTGCCACACTGGTGAATTGCTCTATGAATTCTAGTAATTTGGGGTTACTTTATGTGGATGACATGATACTTCAAGGCTTTTATATGATCTCTAAAGTATTTAGAATGTCTCTGTCCCTTCACCTTAACCCCTTATTGCCTGACATAAATGAGGTTAATCACATATTTTTTATTCTTACAGATTTGAAACCACAATGACATCCTGGGGCCTTGTCGTCTCTTCTATCAATGATATCACTGAAAATCTTCATGAGCGGACATACTGGCAATTCCTTAGTGGCAAGACACCTCTGAGTGAAGGTGAGAAAAGGAAAGGAATCTGGGACTTTCTTCCATAGTCTGCAGGCTGCTTTCTTTCATTTACTTATTTAATTCATTCATTCATTTAATCGAAAACTGTGAGACTGTATGTCTCACATGTGAGATATGTGAGATACTTGTGTATACAGTGATAAACTATACATGTACATGTACACATGTATTATGAATATATATATTCATATATATGAATTGATTCAATTGAATAACAGATAAATGATGAGTAGGTAGATGGATGATAGAACAGGTGGCTGGCTTTCTAAAATAGCTTTTTCGAAAATCAAGAATCCTGACTCCATCCTGAGCCAATGGGGACATATCCAGTGAGCAAGAAAAGTGGATTGACCTACTTAAAGCAATAGGAGCTGAAAAAGGAAAACCCAGATAACATGAGAGACAAAAAAAAAAAAAAAAAAGGTAGAAAAAGTAGTATGTGATCCAAGAAGATGGCCACTTTAGGATTTAAAAATTAAATATCATCATGTAATATAAAACCACAGTGACTTCATAGCCTGTGGGAAACAAGTATGAGGAAGGGGAAACCTAGCTCTTCCTGCAGTGATGTTATCATATGCCACATGTCAACTCTGTAGATATCGGTGATTCTCTTTTTTACAGAGAGAGAAACTAAGTCTCGGAGGCGTTAAAGGCACTTGACAAGTCCTGCATCTAGGGTGGGACTGAGCGATCATCCAGACCATGCTTCCAAACTGTATCATGACCATCCTTCCCCCACAGCTTCACTCAGCATTCATTTTTCTTCTTGCTCTAATGTTTTTTAAAAATTTCCAAATAGAAGAAGGTTTATTTTTGTGGGTAAGAGGCAAGAATAAAATTCAGACTTCAGCAAAACCTTAACATTCTTTAAAATTTTGCACAAATACTAAAAATAACTCTAAGTTAAAGAGCCATGCGTGCTATTTTGTCTAAGGAAGATGTTCGCTAGTTAAAGGATGTTAATCATCACCGTGCAGGGAGATGTGAGGCCACGCAGGGTCACAGCAGAGCTGAGGCTGTGGCTTTGTAAGATGCTTCATTATCCAAGATTACGATGGGAGAGATGTTTTCTTAGAGTCTATCAGGTACATAACAAAATCTGGCTGGTCAGAATTTGCTGAATTGCAGCAAAACACATAATAAAGACCTCAAGGTTACATAAGGGTTGGTTAGAAGCCCCTTCTCCTACTTACTAGCTGCTTTAGGCAAGGAGTGAATCTTCTCAGAACCAGTTTCCAGAGCTATGAAATGAACACAGTAATAGCCATTTCTTGGGTTAGTATGAAAATTAGAAATAACATGTTTAAAATGAGTAAGTACAATGTCTCCTGCATAGCACGCACTCACAAATGCTCAGTATAAGTATTATTAGTTCTCCTATCACCTTTATCTCAAGAATTGCCCAGGAACCTAAATCAGGGTTAGTCTCATGTCTGCCAATTACCTTTCTTCTCTGGGGAAAGAAGGGGAAACAGAAAGGCCTCTGAGATCCAAAAAGTTCTCAGAAAGATCTTATTCTTTCTGATGCCCTGTGACTTGAAAGATGATCATCAATACTGCCATCATCTAACTTCTCTGCCCTGAAACACAAGAATTCTCAACCCACTGCCCTTCCCTACTTTTGGCAAAACCTTCAAAAGTGAACATGAGTTCCTACCTCGAATGTTCTAAACTTGGCTTAACTAAGTCATTTTCTTGCACACTTACTATGTGTCAGATACTATATTAGGCATCTGGCAGTCATTATTCCTAATCCTGAAATGTTTCTGTGGGGTAAATATTATTAGTGCAGTTTTAAACATGAGGCAAAGGAGGATCTCACAATTTAAGGGGCTTGTCCAAAGACATGCTCCATGTGGCAACTCTGAGCCTGGAAACAAAGACTCCCTAAATCTCAATTCCATGCTCTTCCATAGTCATCAAGCTGCCCATTGCACTCTGGGATGATTTTCCTCCTCTAGCAAGGGGGCTGGTCATTTGGGAGGTGGGGGTGGTTACATACACCATGGTCTCCTCATGTTCTTCTCTGCTTGTTTCCAGGAGTTGCTCACTACAAACCCTCCGACCGTGAGCACATCACGGCCAATTTCACACAGTACTAAGGACAAGGTGGGTTCAGGTTCTCTCAAACATCTCCAAAAGATGGTGGAATTTTTGTTCACTTTATTCCAAGTCTATGCAAAAATACCCTGGATATCTACAATGCTGCTATATTCCTGCTAAAAACACAGAAACCACTATGTAGAATAAATGATTCAAACTTCCCTGAAGTCTTAATATCTGTGACCCATGATAAAAGTCCAGCTTCTCAAGGCAATGACTGCTAGTCATCATTTGAACCTAGGATGAGGGGAGGAGAGAGAGCCCAGGTGATGTCTTTGGACTTCATTCTGATCTTCGTGATTAATTAACAAATGGATTCCTTTATTTCTACAAATGAAGTGATATATATTAAAAACTCCTATTTTTAAAAAACCTATTTTTGTTTCTTATACCAAGTACTATTTTTCAAATCACTTAGTGAAATGACCAAAATTATTTCATGAGTCTCCCAGATGGTTTAGAACTAGGTAAATCATGTTCATACTCTCCCCTTGCATTTCTAGTGTTCATTCTGGGTAAAATTAGTTTAAATGTACATTTTTATATAATTTGTAGATAAATACACACATTTAATATATAAGTATAACCTACAGTATGTAATATAAAATTTGATATCTATTTTATATTTGATATCTATTTTATATATTAAATATAAATATATATTTAAAATCCCACACCACACATGTAACATGTATTTTACACAGTAAATAGAAATACAGATCTATAACCACACCCTATACCTACATTTGAAAGAAAAATTAAGCTTTCAAAGACAGTCATAACTCTAATCTCTGCTGGTAGGAGTCAACACTGGTACCAACTTTCTAGTGAAGGATATGAAAATTATATCAAAAGACCTAAAACAGACTCAACTACAACCTCCAAAATCCCAATTCTGAAAAGTATACAAAGGAGAGAATCACAATAGGGCACAGATATACCAGAATCAAAATGTGTGCTGAGGCAATTAGAGAGCAAACCCTAGACATGCAGTCTCAGTATACTTCCTGAACTGACCCCAAGGCAGAGATTCACCTGCCCCCTCGCAGGTCTCCGCCCCCAGCTGCTCAGAGCAAGAGCCTACCCTCTGGCAACTGGGGCTCCTGGGAGAAAGAAGTGTGAGCCACCAGCCCAAACATACCATTAGGTATGTTTGGACCCCAGGAAAAGCCCAGCGCTGGTGCTGTGGTGGAAGGCACCCTCCAGGAATGTGAATAAGTGACCTCTCATAACATGCCCTGATATTCATAATATAGAAAACACAGAAACAGTCTACATGCCCAACAACAGGGCAATGGAGAGATAAACCCTGGTGGATCCATATGCTGGGATACTTAAAAGTCACTGAAATTCTTAAGTCTACATATGAGTGAGGACATACAGTATCTATCTTTCTCTGACTGACTTCACTTAGCATTATACCCTCTAGAGTACCCATGTTGTTGCACATGGCAAGATTTCATTCTTTTTTATGGCTGAGTAATAGTCCATTGCATAGCTATACCACATCTGCTTTATCCATCATCTACAGAATGAACAGCTGGGCTGCTTCCATAATTTGGCTATTGTAAATAATGCTGCTATAAACATAGGGGTGCATATATTTGTTTGAATTAGCGTTTTCATTTTCTTTGGGCAAATACCCAGTAAAGGAATTACTGGCTTATACGTGGAATGTAAGAAAAAAAAAAAAGAAAGAAAGAAACAAAACAAAACAAATGAACAAAGGAAAAAGAGACCAAAAAACAGACTCTTAACTAGAGGGGACAAACTGATGTTGCCAGAGGAGACCTGGGGGGTGGGGATGGGTGAAATAGATGGAGAAGGTTGAAAATACACTTATGGAGGGGCGCCTGGGTAGCTCAGTCTGTTATGTGTCTGCCTTCAGCTCAAGTCATGATCCCAGGGTCCTGAGATCGAGTTCCACATCAGGTTTCATTGTTCAGAAGGGAGCCTGCTTCTCCCTCTGTCTGCCACTCCTCCTGCTTGTGCTCAGTCTCTCTCTCTCTCTCTCTCTCTCTCTGACAAATAAATAAGTAATTTTTTTTTTAATGGACACTGGGACGCCTGGGTGGCTCAGTTGGTTGAGCATCTGCCTTCAGCTCAGGTCATGATCCCAGAGTCCTGGGATCGAGTCCCACATCAGGCTCCCTGCTCAACAGGGAGTCTGCTTCTTGCTCTGCCTGTTTTGCCTGCAGCTCTCTGTGCTCCTGCGCTCTCTGACAAATAAATAAATAATCTTAAAAAATTTTAAAAATTTTTTTTTAAAAAGGTACACTTATGCAGTGTTCAATCACTACTTGTATACCGATACTAATATAACAGTGTATGTTAATTATACTTTTTTAAAAAGTTAATTTTTTAAAAGAAGTATAAAAATTAATTTTATGGTATAAAAATTAATTTTAAAGATTTTTATTTTTTTATGGGGGGCAGGGGCAGAAGCCCAAGCAGACTCCACACTGAGCGTGCAGCCAGACCAGGGCTTGATCCCATGACCCTGAGATCATGACCTGAACTGAAATCAAGAGCCAGATGCTCAACCCAACTGAGCTACCCTGGCAGCTCTTTTAAATTTATTTTCTTAACTGTCAGTAAAATTTGTGTGGGAGATAAATACTTGCTGACATAGAAAGACATTCATGATCACTCTGATGCCATCCATGCCAGAGTATTAGAGTGGTTAACTGTGATGGAATTACTGGTAACTGATTTGTTTGCTTCTCTAGTGTCTACATTCTCTCCATTCGATACAATAATTGAACAACTAGAAAATGGGAAAAATTACCTTTAACAAAGATTACTTTTTTATTTATCAATAAATTGGGCAATGAAAGGAAGGGGTGTGTGTGAGCGAGAGAGAGGGAACCACTGTCCCCCAACTTTTGCAATGAACTGGGTGTGTTTATTTGTATTGGCAAGGATGGGGGACAGGTGAGCAATCTGACAATGGCTCTATGACAAGTTACAATTCCACTTTGAGGAAGTGCTGTAATAAAATGTAGTCTGTATATGTTCATTGCTGCATAACTGTCCAAGCATGGGTTTGGTAATGCTTTGAGAGACTATCATAAGTGTTTTTGCGACCTCTACTGGCCATGGATGGTAAAGCCTAAACTTCCTTCAGGGAAGTGGTCAATTTTCTGCGTTACTGTTTTTGTGAAGATGCAGGGGAGAGGTGGGAAGATTGCTACCAAATCCAACTGTACTTTCCTTTAACTAGATACACAAGTGACGTATGCCAAGTCTGCGATTGAAGATCACACCCTGATGAGGAAATGGAACTACAGAGACCCTCCTCTAGCCCCTTCCAACTAAGATCCTGTAAGTCTTTGAAATGACAAAGAATCTTGCTCAGAAGCACAAACACCTTTGAGATTTTTAAGAAGAAGAAGAGGAATAACAACAACTACAACAAGAATCCTGGCCAAGATAATAAAAATAGAAAGGGAAAGATAATAGAACAAAATAGTTCCAAATTCTATCTTGAAGACCAAACATGCAAAACAGCCATGATGTTTTTTGGACAGTAAAGTGAATTTGACCAAACATATAAAAATATGTAATAAGGGGCGCCTGGGTGGCTCAGTGGGTTAAGCCGCTGCCTTTGGCTCAGGTCATGATCTCAAGGTCCTGGGATCGAGTCCTGCATCGGGCTCTCTGCTCAGCGGGGAGCCTGCTTCCCTCTCTCTCTCTCTCTCTCTCTGCCTGTCTCTCTGTCTACTTGTGATCTCTCTCTGTCAAATAAATAAATAAAATCTTTAAAAAAATATGTAATAAAGTCACGATAATTAAAACAGTGTAGCACTGGTTTCAGATCAGGGAGAGCATGGGAATGGAATAAAATGTTAAAAAATATATTACGTGAGAATTTAGCATATTATAAAATCACGTATTTTTTAAAGATTTTATTTATTTAGAGAGAGAGTGTGAGCATGCATTAGCATGGGAGGGGCAGAAGGAGAGAGAGAGAATCATAAGCAGGCTCCATATTCAGCATGGAGCCCAATGCAGGGATCCACTTCATGGACCTGAAATCATGACCTGAGCTGGAATCAAACATCCAACACTTAACTGACTGAGCCACCCAGGGACCCCAAAAAAATCACATATGAAATGAGAATTTTCAACTTGCCAAAGGACATCCCTACTTCTGGCCTTATAAGCATATTAGCAAAGTCAAAAACTCTTAAGAAAATAACTGAAAGATTTTACTGTGCATGAAAATTTAAAACTTAAAGGATATAATAAAATAAATAATATAATAAAATTAGAGGATATAATAACACTGTAAAAAACTGAATCATATACAAACAAGAGTTAATATGATTAATATACAATAAGCTTTTAGAATTGATAAAAAAAGAAACAGTACAATTAAATCATAGAGAAAGTACACAAACAAATCACATATGAGAAAATGGACAAACATATGAAAAAAAAAAGTAGGAGAAAAAGTTCAACATCACTAGTCATTGAAAAATTGCAAACTAACGTATATCCAGTGTGTAAATTATATGAAGTAGGACTCAGAAAATGGTATTGGAAATCAACCTTAGGAGTGCCTGGAGGGCTCAGTCGGTGGAGTATGTGGCTCTTGATCTCATGGTTGTGACTTCGAGTCCAGACTGGAGGTAGAGATTACATAAAAATAAAATCTTTCGGGAAAAAAAAAAAAAAAAAAACTTTAGGTTACCCTGCTCCTGCTTACCCAAACCCCAAACCAACTTTGTAAGGCTGGGGGGTTTTCTATATTTTCTCAGTTCTCTAACTTAAGAAGAAAAAAAGAAAGAAAAAAGATAATTCTGATTTCAGTAACTAAAATGCCCAATACTGTGTAATAGTCATAACTCTGAATTCCGTCTAAAGGTGAAGCTGCCTCCCTCTGCTAGTTCAGGTCTGCTCCAGATAGGGTGACTATAGCGGAAACAAAATGGGAATGAGGTCGGGTGGGGGGTTCTCTATTTCCTCACTTTGCACTTTTACCGGTCATGTAGGATCTCTCCTGCCCCTTGTCTCTCACCTCTGTTGCTGACCCCTCTGGGAAGACTGGCATGGCACCTGATATGGGTTGAAGTATGTCCACCTCCCCCCCAACCCACCAATATGTGTTGGAGCCCCAATCACCCCCTTCACCCCCCATTCCCCACTTCCGCCCCCATCCACTGTGCCTCAGAATGTGACATTGTTAGGAGAAGGGGTCTTTACAGAGGTAATCAAGTTAAAATGAGGTCAATAGGGTGAGTCCTAATCCAATAGGACTACTGTTTAATAAAATGGGGACATTTGGACACAAAGACACATATAAAGGAAGAGAGAAAGGGAGAAGATGGAGAAGATGGCCATCCACAGGCTTGGGAAAGAAGTCTAGGACAGCCCTCTCCTGACAGCCCTCAAACAGAACCAATCCTGCTGACACCTTGATTTTAGACTTCAGGCTTCCAGAAATGTGAGGCAATAAACTTCTGTTGTTTAAGCCCCCCAGTTTGGCATACTTGGTTAGAGCAGCCCTAGCAAAATGATACAGCACCCAACAGTAGTTGACTCAGCTCCTGGTATAGTTTAAAGTATACTCATTCTCTCATGGGTGCTTTATGGATTCTTCAGAAAAACACATACATACACACACACACACACACACACACACACACACACACACACACACCCTACCCTGACTGCTGAGGCTATATCTTGATGCATGCAAATTCATCTCTGCTGAATGACTGGCTGGTTGCATACAAGTCTTCCCTCAGGCCCTAGACATCCATCATTTCATCTCTTCCAGCATCTTTCTCCCTGCTTCTCAGTGGGGGCCTGTTAGATGGGATATAAGAAATCCCTAAACCAGCACACTGCCTGGAGGTCCATGTCTGCTGAAGAAGGTATGCACACCTCTGACCCACCATCAATGGAAATGTAACTACTTCCCAATTGCAACCCTCTACTTTGCATCAAACCTCCAAACACAGACTTTTGTCAAACACCAATCCCTCTCAAACAGTGGGCCCATATCCAGCTGAGTGGTCTTGAATGCTCTCTCATGAAGCTTGATGGAGCACCCCAATCCCGTGCCTTAGAGAGGAACAATATACCAACAACTCAGTCCAAAGAAATCTTTAATGTAATTTCCAGTCTCCACTTCTTTTCTTGATTTTCCCAGTCCTTTTTAGAGTCTGGAAAAAAGTAAAGAGCTAAGAATAACAAAGCCATTTCCTACCACCTCCTTTATAAATCCTGCCCAGGGGGCTCCTGGGTGGCACAGATGGTTAGGCTCCGACTCTTGGTTGTGGCTCAGGTCATGATCTCAGGGTCCTGAGATCAAGTCCACACTTGGTTCATGGAGTCTGCTTGAGATTTCCCCCTCTCTGACCTCCCCCTGAGCACTCATGCTCTCCCTCTCTCTCAAATAAATAAATAAAATCTAAAATCAGTCAATCCATCAGGCCTGTCCAGAAGGCCCAGCACCTCACTCTGGAATGTGCAGATTACCACATACACTGGCGCATCAGGCAAAGTGGAGTCAGACACAATCCTGTTCGAACAGCCTGTTATAAACATAATATTTGGGTATCATTTCTCTCCTTTCATATTGGCAGAGCTCTAAACAAAGCTGTGCAAGACAACTCAGCAAGGATGTGGATAATAAGCACTCTGATACATTTTAGTGAAGATCAGTCCCTTTGGAAATTTCCTGTATCTCTACCCACCCCCCAAGATATATGCTAGCAATCATCATTAGCCCCCTGATCTGCATCTGAAGGGTCTCCTGACTGAGGTTTTACTAGACAGTAACAAATGACCCCTCAAGCTTCTGGAAACCTTAGAGACTTACACTATCCCTAACCCCCCCTCCCAACTTCCAGGTACATATTCAGTCACTGCTCATAATCCTAATGCAGCTCTTTCTGCCCGTGGGTCCGTCCCTGTGCGTTAATAAAAACCATCTTTCCTGCCCTGAAAACATCTATAGAAATCTTTCTTGACCATTTGCTCCCAGAGTCCAAAACACCACATCAGGATCATTGCTCTTTTAGCAATGCTCTACACCATGTGGAAGCTAATCTCTACACCATACAAAAGTTCTATGCTAATTTATTACACTATGATATTATGATTAGAATCTGATAAGCAAAAACTCAATCTTTTAAAGTGAGATAGTGGGCACAGATATGCATACACAGACACAGACAACATGCATGTGGGTGTCATTTATGTCAACAACCAGACCTAAAACTAGGTCTTTCTGTTATCTCATGATTTTAAAATAAGAAAAATTAAAAACTGAGATGCCAGGTAATTTTGATACAGATGGCAAAATATACAAATCCCAGCAAATACAGAACTGAATGATCCAAAAACAATGCCTTGTAGCTATACTCTGCTTTTTAAATTTTCAAAGTGCTCCCAGAGGATTGACTCTCAACTTGCTTAGGCATTAGAATCACTCATGGGGCTTAATTCACTAAAGGAATCCTGAACCCCACCTCTAGAGTTTCTGACTTAGTATGTAGGGACCAGATACTTACATTTATACAAAGGTCTCAGTAACATCTGATGCAGGTGGTCTGAAGACCAACTGTTGGGAGATTTTACCAAATCTGTTCCAGTAAAAGTAAGAACAGCAAGGTTTTTATCATACTAACTGTGTGGCAAATCATTTCATCCCAGAACATCAGTTTCCTACAAATAAACACAATGGAACTATCAGAAGAGAAGTGTAAATAAAGAGCTGTGAGAATGGGAAGGAGGGAAAATCATTTTCAGGGACCAGGGAAGACTTCACGTCCTTCCTACCATTTTCATGCTTTATTCATAAGAGAATAATGAATAATCTCTTATTCATAAGAGAACTTCTGAAATCTTAACATTAGCTATTGTAGGCTCATAATATTGTCCCTACCTCAACATAAATTCCTAAAGAAAAGGATCACTGATTTTTTTCCTCTTTGTATCCTCCATAGTACTGGCACAACTCTTGCAAAGAAAAAGAGATGTTATTTGTCATAGTTGCTGTTTAAATGTAAAACGTTGAGTTTGCTTCTTAGTTCTCTTAAAATAAACCAGGAGGTGGAAGAGGGGGAGCACCAAGAGACACAGAGACCAAACCAAGAGAGATTGTACTGACACTTTACTTTCTATCCAAAACAAAATTACACAATACTCAGCCTGAGATTTTTAAATGCCTGAGCACATTCAGTTCTCCCACTTTGGGTGGAAGACAGTAGGGAAGAGCTCTCTAGAATCTGACACTGGCTTGGGAGTGGGGGGCAGTTAAAACCCTTTCAGAACTGCTCTACACGGACGGAAATGGCTAAAATAAAGTCCAATAACTCTTTTTGAGACAGCTTTTATCAAGAGCGCCTAACGCTGTGGACAGAGAAAGTTCTCCCAGTAGCTTTGCATGCATTACAGGTTTTAGTTGTT